CAAGAATCAAAAAACCAAATTATCACATTGACATCCCCAAGAAGAATATCTAGAAACCAAAAATAAGAATGATAAAATGTGGTTGATAAATGACGCTACATTGGCGTCTCTAATCCGTTCTTGGGCTCGTAAGAGATCATCTTCGTGAGATGAGTTTTCATGTAATGATAGTGGCAGGTAGTTTTATGGAGCGCATGCGAGGCAATTTGCCTGTAGCGTGTGAATGACGGATTAAGCATCCATACAATGATGAAGATGCAGAAGATCATGATCAGGACCGGGGCCTGCCGGTTGTTGCGATAGGTGGCAGTCATAATGTTGCGGGCTGCAGACTGGAATTGAAGATGATTCTAGGAAAAGGAAGACCAGATAAGGAAGAAAACCAGAAATGGTAGATAAAATTGCAAATGGTGAGATCGGCTAGGATATGTAACCACAGCGACCCGAAAGTCAACGGCTGGCGGTGTTTGATGTTGAATTGATGTTACCGACGGAGTTTCGCAATGGGCCTGGATTTGAAGCTCGATTGAAGCGTGACGTTGGTTGGGTTAATAACGAGTGATGGCGTGGGTTGGGATCTAGCGAGAGCGACAAGCAAGTGCTGCGACAAGCCTTGACGTGACGTAGCATCTTATCTCAGTTAAAAATACCCTCGACAGGCTGCCTGCTGTTTCTGGTCGCAAAGGAGTCCATTGATTCATCAACTGGCGACGAGTGGGTATGGGTTAATTGGATTCCCGTCCAGCGATGGGGCCAAGGCTAGTCACGGGTTCACGGCTCACTGTAGGCTGTAACCTGCTTGGGTCTCAGATCGAGGACTTTCGAGGTTAGGTTTGCTTGATAGACTGTCTTCTTCCAAAGGCCAAAATCACGCGAAAATCGTTACACCAGTCACTTCTCCCGTCCTGTTATAGGGGAACTCAACTTAAGTCCCTCTTACCATCGAGCATTTGGTGATAGAACACGAATGACAAGCAACTCATGCTAAGAATGGCTAAATCTTACTCTAGTAAGCACCGGTAAAGCAGGTACCGTCACCTGAACAAGGGTGTCTGCTGAGGCAGCCGCTAATATGGATGTGGCCGAAGCAAGGGTCTTCTCCCGATCAACCGCGGAATCCCCCTCTAGGGGCTCTTCAAAGTGTCTGGACGACCGTAGCGAAACTGATGTGCATTAATTAGAGGAAACGTTCCATACTGGGGATGGTCCGGTACGCGGGGCTTCGATTGCCGGGCAGGATGAATAAATACTACCCGCGCCTTTGATTCTGGCTTCTCCACGTCTAGCTCGCTTGACTTGATTGACGAGCGGCCGGTTCCTTTCTCTTTGTTCTGCCAGCGCTGGGTGCTGTATTCGATTCTTTTCTAGCTTTTCTTATTCTTTTATTTGTTTACCCTTTTCTTTTCATATGTTGACTCTTTGACAGAGCAACTTGATAATGGAAGCACTTCACCCCGACGGGTTCGGGGCGCCGGCGGTGGCTAGCCCACGCCAGGTATCTTCCTTTCGCAAAGTAATTAACGTTGTTGGATGTGTGGTCTTCTTCGCGATATACTGGATGATCATTTCGGGCTGTCGGTGGCCAGTAACGCTCGATTTATTCGTTTCCATTGGCCTCACGGAGCTCAACCGATTCCTCAACGAAAGTCGCCGGATAGAGTATTACAAGGACGGTGGGGATAGCAGCGATCAAGACCAGGAGAAAGCCGCTCTGACTGAGAAGGACGACACGGAGGTTAACCTGGAGAAAGGTGCTATAGAATGGTCGACCTCGGGGAAGAAGGAGTGCATTGCTGCCATTGTGGGTTGGCGGGAGGACCCTGCCCTTTTCACGAGGGCGCTGACGAGCTACAAAGACGCCCAAAGCTGCGGGTTTGTTATCGCCGGGATAGATGGAGATGCCGAGGAAGATATGGAGATGGTCCAGGTCTTTAACGAGGTAAGTGAAGTAATGTGTGCATTCATAATCTCGGTTTCATCTCTAACATACGGCTGTTGGGTAGGTTTTTCCAACACATTCGCACGTCATCCATGTTCCGGAGCCACTGGGTGAGGTTGCGCATCAAATCTACGATCAAGAGATATTATCGAGAGAAAAGGCCGGTTTGCCGATCGACCATACCGAGATCCACGAAATCGCCATGCGAGAGTGTCTCCTCCTTGCGCGGGAGATGCTCACCAACTCGAAGATCGTCTTCAGTGGTCCAAACCACATCCGCTATTTATGCATTCGCCAGCGACACATGCACAAGAAGGGCATCATGTTTACATCATACATCTTCTCCCTGGCCATCGCAGATATTCTGGGCATCGAATTCATCTGGAGCTCCGACTCCGACTCCATAGTCTCGAGCAATTCGATCAGCGGCACGGTCGATACGATGGCGACGGACCCTTCGATCGGAGGAGCAAGTTCTGGATTGTTTCTGCACAATAGCACCGAGTCAGCCGTCGCCCGAATGGCTGAGACGGTGTACTGGGGAGAGTTATACGTTAATCGATCAATGGCTGGTTCAACGTTGTCGAGCGACTGTCAGTGCGGGCCAAGCACCATGTTTCGCCTCTCTGCGCTGCCTCACATCCTCATCCCGTGGTACTTGCAAACGATCATGGGCAAGCGGATGGTAAGATTAATAAACCCAGCCTCAGGTTGCAAAGCTAACACTGGTTCCGTACAGATCATCAACGAGGACCGTCACTTGACAACAAACCTACTCAAGCGCGGATGGGGCGTCGCTTTCGCTTCTGATGTCCTCACGGCGACCGATACGCCTACTACTCTGGCCGGCTGGCTGAAGCAGCAGATCCGCTGGTCTCGCGGAACCCACATCGAATCACTCCTCGAACCGAGCGTTTACGCGGTGAACCACCCTCTCTTGTTCTGCGGCATGATCAAGCGCGAATTCGTCCCCATCGGCAGTCTCTTCGCCACCCTGATCTATTTCTTCACGGGCAAGGCGCTGGTCACATTGCCATTGGAAGATCTTGCGATTCGATGCGTCGTCGGGTGGGCGTACAACTATCTCCGCAACACACATCGGTTGACGCCGGGGACGTGGAAATGGCTGCTCCCCGGCTTGATCTTCTACCACGTTCCGATGCCGGCAGTGTATTTCTGGAGCTTGATCACGCTGACGGCGGATGGATGGGGTACGACGATGAGGTCGAGCAGCGAGAAGGCCAAGAAGGACGGGGTCTGGAAGGCTTGGTGGGAGAACGGATTCTTCGTCGTGTGGATGGCCATCGTTTGCGGATCGGCAGCACGATGGTTGACGAACCATGTGTTTGTCGGGCTGATCAGCGGGATGGCGGCGACGTATTTCTTCTTGATCAGTGCTGCTCTGGGGAGCTTCTTTGCCTGGAAAGCGACCATTGCGGCAACCTCTTAGGCTGTCTTTTCTTTTCTTTTTCTCTGTCTTCTTCTTTTTTCTCTCTTCTTTTCTTTACTTCTTTTCTTTTCTTTTCTTCTTTTTCTTCTCTTTTTCTTTTTCTTTTTCTTCTTCCTTTCTCAACTCCTCTGTACGGAGACTTCTTTACCTTGTATATATCTTGGGCATATTATTTTGCTGTTGGCATTCAATCAACGTACATTTTTGATCGCTCGGATTGGAGGATCGTAGTAACGTGATGATCGCTCGAGTTGTGACTTGTGCATCTCCCATCCGTAGCCCGGAACAGTCATCGCAAACGTAAGAAAAAAGGGTCCATGCATTGGCACCGTCAATCTCGATAGGGGCTTCGTGGGCAGATGCCAGACAATTATTATTAGAGAAGGAATACAGAATATTGTTCCCTCCCAAGGGCACAGCCAAGTCCTCACTTCACCCCTAACGGTGAATCCCGGAATGCTGACCGACTTTCCGAATCTTTTTCGCCAGTCAGTCGCTGCGTGTCCAGTCATCAAGTATGTCACCTCAGGCGACATAATTTACCGGTATGTCGCCAGGCGTCAGGGATGTGCAAGGTGATCAATCGGAAAATTCAGCACTGAATCAGCGAGCTGGGATGTCGCCTAATGAGCCGACATGACCCGACAGCCACAGCAAGTATCAGGTAGTCAAGATTAGAATGCAAGGAGGAAAGTTGGAAGAGCAGGTTATTACGACATAATATTAAATTGATTATGACTGTGGAGCTGGCTGGCAACAAACTTTGGAACAAGCTTAACCGGTGGGGAGGAGAGGAATGCTTATTTGGCTGTCGTGATGGTGAAATGAGCTTCGATAGCAATTGCCAACATAATAATACGTACATGCCACGAATGAGTCAGGATTCTGCTGGGGGTCTAGACTGACGATGTTGGCTGTGCATAGAGCCCCTGTTGCTGTCGATGTCGATGCTACGCTCGCTCAGGGGCCTCCGTCAGTCGCTGGCGATCATCGAAACAGGTTTCTGTCGGTCGTCCGTAATTTCACGAGCCAGGGAACACATCCGTGTGCTTCCACTGGGTCTGGCGGCCCGATGTCAAGTCTGATTCTCCGAGAAGCTATGAGATGGATTGGGTATACTTGGACAAGTGCCTGACGGTACGTCTTCCACTAAGTGCCTCACAAAATCTCGCATGCCCCTGTCATGACTGGAGCGATGAGATGTCCGCACCACGAGAACGTGGGCAGTTTGGAGTGCGACAATCCCAACAGGGCGCTGAAACGTAGCTCTGCCGTGGCACCATTTTCACCTTTCTTATCTCGTCTCACTCCTCCGAGGAAAAGTTCTCGAGCAAGGCCCCGAACCCGCTCGTCGGTCACTCCACGGCGGCTCTATCTCTAGACTCGGACCCTAGAGCAAATCTCGTGTCTTGGCTCAAAATCACCCCACCACCTGGAATATAAAGAATACCTGGCCCGTGAATATCCCCGATCACCCCTTTACGAATTCCTATCATCATCAGTGTATCCAATCTAGTGCGACTGAATCCTGTCTTTTCAAGTAATTTATTCTCCTTGTTGTGAAAACATCACCCGATATCTCGTTTGAAGAAAAAATTCCAAACGATCACGATGGTTGACCCGGACCCAAAACAACAGCTGCAGCAGGGCCTCCCTAAGGAGAACGGGTTCCATCCGGTGCTCTCAAATACCTCCGAGCACCACTTCAATCCTGACGAATCTCAGTATCTTCCCAATGGAAACCTCTTCCTCCCGAACGGTATGGCTCTGCCCTCTGGTGGTCGGTTGCACCCTGGCCTGTGGAGGCCGCTAGAACACCGCAAGTTCGCCAACCCTGCCCCTCTGGGATTGAGTGCCTTTGCCTTGACCACCTTCGTCCTCTCGTGTGTGAACATGGAGGTTCGTGGGGTCACAGCCCCGACTATCGTTGTACCACTGGCTTTTGCATATGGTGGTGTAGTACAGCTCTTGGCTGGCATGTGGTATGTTTTTGTTCGATAGGCAGTTCTTCAAACCATACTAACTGATGACCATTTAGGGAAATGGCTGTCGGAAACACTTTTGGGGCGACAGCTCTATCTTCATACGGAGGATTTTGGATCGCCTACGGTCTCCTCCAGACACCCACCTGGGGTATCACGCAAGCGGATGGCCCTTACAATGGGGAGACAGCTAACCCGGTTGGATTTTTCCTGACTGGCTGGTTCATCTTCACCACGATCTTGCTGCTGTGCACCCTCAGATCTACGGTGGCTTTCTTCTCATTGTTTTTCGTCCTCGACATTGCCTTTCTCTGCCTATCTGTCGAGAACTATGCTCATGATATGGGCAATGCGGACGCTGCTGCGGCGCTCAAGAAAGCCGGCGGCTTTTTCGGGTTCCTTGCGGCATTCTTGGCTTGGTACAATGCTTTGGCTGGTATCCAAGACAGCAGGTTAGTCGATTACCATTCTTCGTTCTCTGAAAGACAACCATAAGCTAATAAAATCGAATGTAGTAATTCATTTTTCAGCGTTCCTGTCATCCACTTCCCCTGGTCCGACCAAGGAAAAGAGCTACGTATGAAACGAGCGAAGCATATTGTTTGAGCGATTACACATAGATGTGCAGATTTGTTGCGTTAGAGAATACACCTTTGGAATTGGGCTTAGACTTAGAATAGAAGAGCACTTTTGCGCTGGGTGGAAAAGAATCTCTCAACTAGAGGGAGAACGACAACTTGGTTTCTGATTCGTACTTCGGGGATATAATTAATTATTAGCGTTCCGTTTAGAAATGACCTCCCACAGATAACATAAAGTCGGCAAAATGAGATATAGTCGACATGAACTGTTTACTGGAAAGATGAGACCTCGCGCAATGGGCTTATTCGTAACTATTCGCTTGCTTTTTACAGACCTCAAAGTGGCATTGGTGGCTGCATCATTATGTTCCGCAATGTTCGTGCTAGAGAATGCTTATCGGGATCTTAATCCTAAAGTTAGGAACGCTGTGTGTGGCTTCTCGCCACAAATGTTCAGATGTCTACGTGTAGCCTATGGTGCCATAGCGACTCGGTTCATCCAAGCAATAGGCAGAAACACGCTCTGTATGCAACCAATCCACCAGTCCACATCGTCGGTAAAGATGAAAAGCCACCTACGCCAAGGGCCATGAAAAAGATTGAGATTTGAATGCTTTTTACGGGGGTTGGGTCAACTGAAAGCCTCCGCTCAAGTGTGTCCTCAATGGAGAATCGATTAGGGAATATTTCTTCGCGACTGCCCCAGGGAAAGTTACGTCATCCTCTCCATACGATAATAAGGCATCTTACATGGAATTTGCGTAGCTGATGAATGGGCACAGTTGAATTAGTGGATTTCTCGGGCATAAGCCTCCCCTTCGCCCTCTGTAGCTCGGAGCTCTGCATTGGCTATGACTCCTACGTGTGAGGAGGCAAATCTGAGCCAACCAGTTATTAGTTACGGAATAGCATGTCGCACCTGGCAAAAGACCGTGCGTTGGGATTGGGCGATATCCGAGTTGGTGTAGGGCTGCGCAATGCAGTGCGTGTCCTGGCGACGAACTCGACCGTGATTGCTGCCTCTGGCTGTCGGCTGTGCGTCCCGGATAGAGACTCTTGGGCTGTGCTCGGTCGCCGAATTTGCCGAGAGCGTGGCCGCCTTCTGATGGGTACAGATTCCCCGTGTCAGACGGGCTCGATGGCCACGGCCGGGGCTCGGATTTGCCCGAGTGTCTCAGCCAGCAATGAGATATCAGTATAAAGACAATGGTCCAGCTGGAATTTAGATATCTGCATTCTCATCACATTCAAATCATCAACTACCCATCTACTCAACATAAACAGCTTCGTCTCTTACACAACTCTCCAGATCATCATCATGACTCAAACAGTTCTCCCATCAGCAACGGCGCCCCCGGTCTATGATGCCGCCTCGGGTGTCCCAGATGTCACTGAAAAGCAACAACAGTAGGTCTCTCTTAAAAAAAATTCCCCTTATCTGTCTCACCAATCTGATGGCTGTTAGAATCTGCCCCCGTCACGGCGCATCCACGACGCCCACGATTGACAAGCACCTGCGCCAGTTTCACGTCAACGACAGGCTGCAGGCCCTCGCTCCGGGCACCACCGCACTGGATGGCCAGGGCTGCACTCGATGCACCGTCGAGGCCGTCACTAGTGTCCTCTCCGGGTATACGAGGGACCTCAAGGCAGCCAAGAAGTCAGGCCAGCTCACCAAGCAGGAGAGGAAGGCCATGAAGGCCGAGGCCAAGGCGATGAGCAAGGAGATCAAGAAGGACCTGAAGGCTACTTGGAAGAAGGCCGCCTAAGCCTCTTGGAATATCACCGGTCGTCTCTTATCGTATCACGCAAGGCTCAACTGTCATTTATACCTCTGCGCTCCGAGCATCTCCTCTACTTATCCTATTTGATTTTGATCCCAAGCGCTCGCTTACGTTACCTTGATATTAATTTTTTTTTGTTTGAGGCTCAGACCAATTATAATTTAATGGGATAGATCACGGATGGATTTCTACTTTTTCCAATTTGAGTGACCGCAACTATATAATTTCAAACCATATGTTAAAGACGGCATGTTTATTCTACCAGCTTTTGACTATTTGACAGGAGCATGTTTCTCGCCCTGTCGTGGAGGTTCTACGCTGCCATGTGGTCCAGCCAAAGTGGGAGACCCTTAGAACGAGGCAGATAGCCGCGGCTGACATTGCATACTGAAGACTTGCAGGTTTTGGATGAACTAGGCTAAATGCAGGCTTTTGGACATACATGCTAGATAAAATTTGTCTGAAATAGGATTTGTGAAGACCGCATAACACACTCATCCCTCCTCCCCGGCTAACTTGGGGTGTGGAGATTGATCACCCTTCACCACTCGGCTATCGGCTCTGAGCCGGTAGTTACCAGCATGCTAACATGTCGAAACGAGCGAAACATTGCATTGCAATAAAGCGGTTAGTGTTAGCGCACGACCTATGTCGTTAGGTGAGGCACTTTTCCGCCACATGACCTTCGATATCGATACACACGAATGGTCACGGCTCTCCAGCCCGTCACCCACCAGGTCCTGACTCCTGAGCATCCGGCAGGACAAACACAGCCTCCGGAGCAGCGTAGTGACGATAGAGCTCATTCATTAGAAACCGTTTCATACACCTCACAAGACAACTCGAACATCCGACTGGGCTATCAGAGCGCTCCCGTAGGACGATGATAAGACTGTTTCATCGTCGCCGGCAGGCTATTATACCAGACGTCATCTCTATACCAACCGATGACGGGTCGATGGCCAAGCTACATCAGGGGCGTTGGAATCAGGAAAATTCCAATCTAATTATGAGATCCTGCATAAACGATGAGTCTTGACGCCATGATAAATATTTCAACTTCATATAAAATCGCGTCTTTAGGTATACGATTTCGTGACGATGGCGGGGAAGTTTGCGACGCGCGAAGACATGTAAAGAAAGTCTTTTCAAAACTCTACCCCCTTTCTCGAATTTGGGGCCAACGGTCCAAAGGGTGAATTCGGATCTCAGAGGGCGAAGTCGGACCGTAACCGAAGTGTGCCGCCCCTTTAGTGTCTTGACTATGACTGGACCGCTCGCAGATCGCAAACCGTGTGGGAGATACACTTCCTATAATTATCTAGCTGCCGGCGGCACGATGGAGTTGTAATAATAACGATGACTACTTGCGGCGTTCGACACAACACGATTTGCCCTCATTACGTATCGCTGAGACTCAGTGGAATGCCTCGACCACGTAAATCGACAATCCGCTCACAGGCCGGTCATCTCGCTCCGAGGACCGCTCCCGGGCTATGACGCTATAGCGGCATCAACGGTTATTAGATGCGGGAGTCTCCGCGGGCACTACAGGAAGCTGATAGCCCTCCGCTCTCAAACCCAAACCCCGCCACCAAAGTCAGCAGGACCTACTTCGATATATCTTCATCTATCAGACTCGGCTGTATGGAGCCAATCCTCTTGCTCTGTACATTTTTTGCGGTATTGATCTACCATACGCGCAAAAGTGTACCACTCTATGCTGCTAAGTTTCGCAAAGCCAGCAAAACTCCGCTACATATACATATGGTTGCTGGAGCTGCCGAGATTATTCGTTATCACATCACGGCCTTGACAGATCAGCCCTCCCCGGATCTCTTGGATCTTGTACTTTGCTTGCTTCAATCCGCAACCACATTACATCTAGCGAAGACACTGATCCGAGGAGACCAAACGACCCGGCCAACGTATCAAGTCACGGGTCTGGCCCGCCCTTTCCTAACGTTGGCTGCTCTTTACACAGATGACGAGCAGCTCCACCGCGGTTCCGTCAAGCTGGTGAACGGCTTCATTTATGTGAGGCTGATCATCTTTTCTTACCGCGTTCTGAACCTGGACCGCGTTTTCACGGGCCCCGCCGTATACGCACACGCTATTTTCATAGGCGGTCTACTCGCCGTCTATGAAGCGGGGTTTCCATTCGGAGTACCGGCGTTTGTGATTCAAGTCGGTCTTATGATTTCGTTGCATAGATTCGTGACGGACTACGTGCAGAGAAAGAGGTGAGTACTCACTAGCTCTGCTTTCGAGGAGAGAACGTTGTCCTAGTTCACTAACGGAGAAAAATTTGCAGGACTACGGGACACCGGCCACAACATATCAAGCTAGGCATTCATATTAGGCTCTTATTATTTGCCGGCATAGCCGACCTTCAAACGATTAAATGGTATCAGAAGCCACCTGAATTGATGTTGAAGATAAATGACTCATACGGTACCAATCAGGAGACCTAGGGACTGCCTAGGGGTTGGGATACAGATAATTAGAACGAATTATAGCAATCAATAGATTTATATGTTCTCCTAATATTTATCAAAAGGGCTACTACTCTGTTTATCGCCTGCGAATAAATTCTTTAAATTAATAAGACTAGCCTTTGGTAGGTAGGGAAGAATGCTGAGCGTCCTGCTAAGAAAGAGTGAAGCATATATAACCCATCTTTTCAGTTCCCCGGTAGTTATGTCGAGGGGCACAGATCTTACGAGAGATAAATTGATTCGACAGCTATCATAATCTGAATAGGTAAGTTCAAGCGTTGCAGCTTTTGCACAGAAAGTTACACTGGCTTTTTCAGGAGATCCTCAGGCTTCCTTTCACACCTTTGGAATCTCAACCACGTCCGCAATATCCTCCCCGTCCTTTACTCCCTGCCTAGACACGGCCGAAAGATCCATCTCGATAGATTTCTTTTTGAAATGTCTTGGAGCAGTACCCTTGTTATAAAGTTCGTCAATGCGTTCAAAAGAAAGACCCTAGGTAAAGATATTGTCAGCTTTAATAATGCTAGAAAGAATCATTAGCGAGGGTAGGCTGAGCTGTATACCTTTGTCTCGGGAAAGAGAAAGTATCCTGCGATAGCTGTTAGGATACCAGTGCCGAAGAAAATGAGTCCTGTTTTGCCACCAAGGTTCCCCGCATCCGTGTTAATCATGTACGGCACGGTAAATTGCATGATGAGGCCCCAAACACCATTCATGACGGTGACCAATGCTTGCGTAGCTGCTCGGAGACGCAAAGTCGCGACCTCAGATGCGAGCACAAAGCCGCACGCTCCCAGCGACACCTGATATACCACGGCCCAAAGGTACGTGATGACGACGATAGCCCACAGGGCGCCGCTCCTGTCCTGAAACCACCCCAAGATGCCCATCAATAGCAACAGGCCGCTCATTGCGAACAGGGCAGGCACAATCAGGCCTCGACGCCCAACAATCTCTACAAGAGGGAATGCCGCCGCGGTCGAGAGTAACATAACAACGTACATTAGGCAAGATGCCAAGAAGAAGTTGGAGATGCCAATCAGCTCGAAGAAATAGGTTGCGTAGCCAATGACAAAGCTTGCTCCAATCAGTTGCTGTCCGCTGGCGGCAAACATAGCCGTAAGTGTGCGCTTCAGGTTGCTTCCCCGAAAGCACTGAAGCTCGGCGCCAATGTGAAGTCCCAAAATCTTGAACCCAGTGTCTGCGAGGTCACTGTTGAGTTCCGAATTAAATCGGACATCCTCTTCCAGTCGACTCATTTCGATCTCGATGAACTCTTGAGCTCCGCGGCTATACATTCGCTGAAGAGACTTCCTGGCATCCTCTGGTCTTCCCTCACGTATGAGCCAGTAAGGTGATTCAGGAAACCAAGGGTATCCGGCAAGTAAGGTAGCTGTAAGTCATGGTAAGCCAAGTATCGATAAATAGCCCGTTTTTCTTAGACCTACCAGGGAATATGTACATCGAGACAACGACTGTCCACCATTGCCACTTGCCCTCGATGTTACTAGACCCGTAACCAATGACAACACTGTATCAGGTTAGATATGTTAGGCAACGTCTGATTACTATACGATTACACACATAAGAAACTGTCCAAGGACGATGCTGGCATTGAATAAGCAGAGAAACAAACCTCGCAGTTCTGGCCTGCAAGTTTCTCCTATCCAAAGAGGCGAAATGGTGAACATTATTCCCACGGCAGCACCTGCGTTATCTTTTTAGTAACGGTAGAAGATAGGCGTGAAGGGACGCGATGGCTTACCATTTACTGCCCGACCAGCTAGGTGCATCTTCCACTCTGTGGCGAGCTGTTGCAGCAATACACCAACAACAGAGATGACCGACGCGACAATTATTTGATGTTTTCGACCGTACTTTTCCAGGAACGGGGCTGAAATAAGCGCAGCAACGATGTCACATGCCAGGCCAACTGCGGCCCAGGCAGCAAGGTAATGGGCTGGGAGAAGCATGGAGCCATCTTCTTGACGAACTCCAAATTGCTTTCTAAACTCGGGAAGTGCAGCGAGCTGGCCTCCAGCGACATAGTCCCAGCCCAGCATCATTGAACCGATGGAGGACCAAAGGGCTGTCCCGGTTAGTCTCCATTCAGCAAGAGAAGCCAACAAGGCTATCATCTACCTACCCCACAGGCCATATTTCCAATGCTCTCGAAGGATAGCCCATTTCTGGGTACCATCGACGGTTGTGTAGTCAATACTAGGAGATTTCTCATCAGCGGTCTACTCCGTAGGAGTCCAGCTTGGACTAAGACAGGAGTATTATACTTTTTGTGCATAGCTCGAGTAATGTTGAGAGTTGATATGGGAGACCAGGATGGTATGAATAATGTTGCCAGATGCTTTAGTTAATCATCAGAGAGAACATGGAGTATTTATATTCCTTGACTTAGTCTAGAAAGTATGCTTTACCATGCAATAAAAGGCGAGACTGAAAGGAGCCCCTATGTGGCAATCTCCCCAGCACGCGTTGAATCCAGGTGTGTGGTCGTCAATGCGGAGTTCCCCATATGGAGTAATTTAGCGCTTTACTTAGTTGCTTTCATGTCATTGTCGTCTGATCTGGGGAGCATGAACGGGTGACATGGAGTGAACTGGAAGCAATTTTGATCGTCCACAGGCTCTGTGGCAGAAGACGGTTCGATGACCCACATCGCGGAACCAGAGAGGAACTCCGCGAGCGCTAAGTAATAGAGGAGTGAGGAGTTTGAGGCATATGCGGAGTGTCGGAGGTGCATCCGACACCATATCAGAAAGCGGAAAGGTGGACTAGGCTTCAAGACGAAGTAAAGTGAGCGTAGATGGATGTTTTTTCGGTCGAGGACTAACGCTTCGCGAGTATGTATTAGAATCAGTTTACCATACATATGTCTACCTCGGCGTTGTTTCTTAACCAAGCCCTCCTCTCAGATGTCAAGACTCAAGATACATCTTGCCTCCATATCAAGACTAATTCTACATATCCTATAAGAAAGAAATAAAATGCGGCAGCCCAATATACAGAAAGACGAATTTTCCAAAGCTGTGCGGCCTGGGTTTCACTTTTCAGCACCTCACGGCTGGATGAACGATCCATGTGGCCCAGGATTCGATCCTATCACCAACACATATCATCTATTCTACCAATGTTAGTATTCTTCAACAGCCTAGTTTCAACCACAGTTAGGACTAACATCCCGCCTCAGGGAATCCGAGAGGCTGTGAGTGGGGCAACATGTCATGGGGGCATGCTACAAGCAAAGACCTTGTAACATGGAAGCACAGCTCGAACACTTCACCGGCTCTCTCTCCAGATAAAGTTTATGATAAAGAAGGAGTTTTCACAGGGTGCTTCATACCATCAGGGCCTCATGGAGAGGACGGAATGATCACACTATTTTACACGTCAGTCTGCCACCTACCGATCCACTGGTTAATCCCCTATGTTCGAGGTAGCGAAGGCCTTGCCGCTGCAGTATCAAAAGATGGAGGGGCTACGTGGGACAAGTTTGAAGGAAATCCTATCCTGCCTGAGGAGCCGGAATCTTTGACCGTCACCGGCTGGAGAGACCCTTATCTATCTCGGTGGGAGTCCCTTGATCAGCTTCGAGGTACTGAAGGCACCCTTTATGGCATTATTTCTGGCGGCATAAAGAACAATGGACCTGCGATATTTCTCTACGCTATACGACCGGACAAACTATTCAGCTGGGACTACATTGGCATCCTAACGAGCTCTACTCCCAACTTCCGCCGTTCGTCCAAGTGGAGCGCAGATCTTGGAGTGAACTGGGAGTGCGGCAACTTCATGACTCTGCAGGATAAATCAGCCAACTCAAGCAGAGAATTTATCATATGTGGCTCAGAAGGGGGTCATGAAAGGCCATGGCTTGTGGAATATCTCGACTCTGTCCAGGATTCAGTTCCGAGAAGGACGGTCAGCTATTCATTCTGGCTCAGTGGCTCCCTGACCAAAAGCGAAGACGGTGTCTCAATGAAAATCGATTTCGACGGATTTCTAGATCATGGGTGCTACTATGCTGCGGGATCGTTTTATGACCCAATTGGAAGCCGCCGAATCGTGTGGGGTTGGATTAAAGAAGAGGATCTCGCAACGAGATATGCCAAGGACAAGGGTTGGGCAGGATGTCTTGCATTACCCCGTGAGTTGTTCTTGCAGAGAATACCAGGGGTAATCAAGGCGCTTAAAACTCCATTAAGCGAGATCACATCCGTGTATGCGCTTAAAGAAACTCAGTCATCCAGATACGTGATTGAGACACTAGGTATTCGTCCCTTACCAGAGCTCTCGCAACTTAGAAAAGGCGACTCTGCCGTAATCGAGAAAATCATATTACCACTGGATACAGCAAAAGCATATCTTACACCATTTAAATCCGCCCGGTGGGAGTTGGACACGATAATCGAGATACGAGAAGGGTGCACGGCAGTCGGTTTCCACGTTCGCCATACAACTGACATGAAAACGTTCACAACAATCAGCTTCCTACCCCAGGAAGAGGAGATTACCGTCATACGAGCAAACTCAAGTACGCTCTCGGATGTGAACAGGAGTGACGAACGAGGTGCAATGACACTTTTTACCCGAGAACAAGGTGATCAGCTGGTCCTTGAACCACTCACGTTGCGAATTTTCTCCGATGGGAATACTCTTGAGATATACGCAAATGAGCGATTTGCTCTGTCAACTGTCATTTACACAAGCGAGGCTTCTGCTGTTTGTCTAAGCATGTTTGCCAAGGGTGTAGACGGCGCCGCCACGTTCAAGAGAACGGAAATCTGGACTGAACTGGGAACCATCTACGAAGATTAATAGAGACGATACATCATAGACTCTTGTCCATCCAATTCAATAATTCCATTATGTGAATTTTCAGAATCAGCCTGGTGATGAGTTGATGGAGTCTACAGCGTTTCTAAAGATCCCATGTAGAGCCATGAGCGAAGGACTAAATGGCGCGACCTCGCCCACAGCTTCCAAAGCAGCATGAATGTAACGGTACAGTTGCTCATGCCTGAGTTCCCGTATACAGTCTACCGAGAGTGCCCTAATCGCAGCCATTGATATGATGAACAAGCTAATCAACCAGTTAACTGCCATGTCATACTCGTAGAAGACATAGAATTTCATATCATACCTTGCAGCAAGCGTCCAAGCATTCGGTAGACAGCTTTTCAGAGAGGCGGAAGCAGCTAAAACAAATGACACGTATTCGTCGAGGAACTTCTCACAATAGTGCAGCAATTCATCGTTGGCAGTCCCAGTCTCAATCGCCTGGTATATCGCAGGCCAGAATATTGAGATCTTGCACGCCGAGTATTGTGTCTGTAGGAATAGCGTCGTGGGAAGTATGGCCAGGTCACTGACTTTGGAGGGGCTCTTCTGGAAACGTAGCAGCGGAGGAAGATAATCATACCATTCGTTCAGCTGGAGCTCGAGCTCGGCAGCTATCAGAGGCGCGTACTGGAGGTGCCCGCCGGCCGACTTGCTGACAGAGGTTGTGCAGCGCTGGAGCATCCTCCGCATGGCTATCTCGGCCATGAAGTACGATCGTGTCAAGTCTGTTGAATCCTGGGGCGATAAATGGTCCATGCCTGAGTCTGGAGACAAGTTGGCTTCTCTTGGATGTTGCCAGATGTGGTCTCCAGCTGGTAATGGGACATTGTCGTCATACTTCCATATTCCGCTTTCGGCCAGGTCCAGTTGGACAGCCAACTCACTCTCTATAAGGAGAACAGCCCAGTACGCACGCTGGAGAGACTCGGACCGGGAGTTGTCATCCGAAAAAGTGCGGCTCTTGAGCATGTTTTGTGCCTTGAACGACGCCATGAGGACGTAGTCATGGGCCTGGCATGGTTTCAGGCGACACATGAAGTAGATGCTGAATAAAATCAGGCATTGAAGGCCGCCCAACGTGTAGTCGCAGAGGATATCTTGTAACATGCCAGCGGCTTCATCATAGTAAGGCGCGTCTGGCCTCTCATGCAAGGCCTCAGCAATATTGCCCTTCTCGGCCAAGGATCCAATGGCCAGGGCCAAAAGGGCAAGACATGTGTCCACTGGGCTGGAGACGTGCCCACTGAGGAAGCTGGAGAAGTTTGTGGGAAAGTCGAACGAGAGTACTGGATACCAGCAGTGGATCCTATCAGCAAATGCACCCAGCGCGGATCCAACACGCTCGTTCCGCAGCATGAACATTTTGGATGCAGCCATACGTGGTTTGTGAGACGCGTCGAGCGGTTGTCTTTCCAAACCGATCAACCAGGGGCCTGTGTCCGGATCGAGATTGAGAACCTCCATCATGGACTGCCGCTGAATAGTCATTACAGGGAATGTGGAGTCGTCAATTATGTCGGTAGCAGGGTTGCTCTGGTCTGTATGCGTAGACATCCCCTCAGGAATGGTAGATACATGCGTTGGGATAGATATCGGCCGGCCCGGGGCCGGTCCATTTCTCTCTGCGAGTATCTCAAGAACCTGGTCAAGTTGTTGTCGGATTGTTGCAACCTCGCTTTCCAGTCTTGATTATATTCACATCAGTCCTCTAGATCTTATTATTTTGAAGCCAATATTGAGGCATCGGACCATCCAGAAACAACCAAGATGTACATACTTAGACGGGGGAGGCTCTGCAGCCTGGCGGTAGATGCAGTCGGCATCGTGGGTAACACAAAATCCACATCGAGGCCGCTGGCCATCGCATCTCGTGCGCCGTGCTCGGCAGATTTCGCATGCAATGGATGCTCTTTTCCTAGGATAATCTGCCATGACGAAAACATTAGATCCTTTTCACGCGCTCAGAGAGCTCCGGTATCATCTGGCTTCGTAGTGTGCAGTTGAAAGGTCAAGGGAACAGGATCGGGGATCGGAATAGCATATACGCATCCGCGAGCATGTGGAGATGGCTCTTCAGGTCACATGGAGGGGTAATACTGGGGTGATACTAGGGTCAATAGCTCGGAATATATGAGCCAAGAACAGGGATTCGTTCGTCGGCTGCTGCCAGCCTTTAGACTGGGTCTAATCGGTATACACTTCCGACACTCCGCGGGTCCGTGAGCTAGGCGGCAGTATGATGACACCCAGTTGATGCAAGTCTATTGGACTGCAGTGATGGCACTGGGCTTACTGCCAATAGAGCTGTCACTCCTCTAATATCAATATCGACCATAAATATGAGGCCAAGAGAACGGCATATGAGCCTGCATGTGCCAGTCTCAACAGTGACAACAGCCCAGAAACGATACGCGTGCGATTCAAGGTCATCAGAAAGAAAACATGGCCACTTCAAGCTTTCCTCTTGGTGGGGATCTTCTCTCCAATGCCGCAAGACTCAAAACCGCTCGGACTGCACGCCTTGCCAGTTGGGATCACAGTGGCAAAAACGAGGATGCCTGGGTTATCCAGCCTGGCGAGAACGCTGTACTCGCTGACATCGAGGGTCCGGGCACTATAACGCACCTGTGGTTTGTTCAAACATGCCGCCGCATCGTCGGACCTGGACTGATCCCTTACTCCAAATCGGGTGTGGCCATGATGGAGGTTCACAATGCCCTTGGACTTAGCTTCGAGGTTAGCGATCCTGACTACTATCGAAACGTCATAATCAAGATGTACTGGGATGACTCGGAATTCCCAAACGTCATTGCGCCCATCGGAGACTTCTTTTGTTTGGGACACTCCATGGCCGCCAACTTCCAGTCTCTTCCCTTCACTGTCTCTGTCAAGCCGTCAGAGGAGAAGAAGTTTGGAGGCGCCGCTGCCTTCAACTGCTATCTCCCCATGCCATTCAACAAACGTGCCCGTATCGAAGTAGAGAACCAGGGCCAGGAGGCCTACTTTCAATATTTCTACATCGACTATGAGCTTCATCCAGAGCCATTGAGCAAGGACACCTTGTACTTCCATGCCCACTGGCGACGAGAGAACCCAACCAACGGCTGGGCGCCAGAGGATCTTCAGACGAACAGTTTGGAGACGCAGGTCCCTAACCTCGATGGAAAAGATAACTATGTCATTCTCGAGACAGAAGGGGCAGGCCAGTATATTGGCTGCAATCATAGTGTGGCGCACTTCCAGGGCACCTGGTGGGGAGAGGGCGATGATATGATCTTCATCGACGACGACACTTGGCCTCCTTCCATGCATGGCACAGGTGGCGAGGACTACTTCGGTCAGGGATGGGGCATGCAGAAGAACTCGTACCCATTCTGCGGGAGCATCATTCACGAGGAGGACGTTCCAAACCATCAAGTCTCCTACCGCTGGCATCTAGTCGACCCCGTACGGTTCAGCAAGAAGATCAAGGTCACGCTGGAGACGGGCCACGCCAACCACCTCCGCGACGACTGGTCAAGCACGGCGTACTGGTACCAGACGCTCCCAGGCCCCAAGCTAGAGATTCTCCCTGCCGAGAAGCGAGTCGCCCGCAAGCCCGAGTTCCCTGCTGGCGATCACCCGTCACCTCCTAAGATCGAGGCCCTTGACCCGTTGCGCAAGTCTCTAGTCGAGCAGCGTCAGGACCGCCTCGAGGTTTTTGTCAAGGATCGCAAGCAGTGGCTTGATCGCAGAGCTCGCGATTCTCGGGAGCGGTCGAAGAAGAACATTGAGGATGCTAAGTTGCTTCGGCAGCGCTGGCTAGAGGGTCTGTCAAAGGATGAATAGTGAGATTGGCTTGCGCCTACAGAGGCAATCATATATAGAAGGGTCACTCAACTCGTTATCTATCCCCATTACCATATCACCCCATTCCTATATCCACGATGCTAGGTGAGGTTCCTCGTGTGGAGAAAAGATTTAGTAAGTATTAAGTGAGGGAGCTGTACAACTGCTGAAAAAGAAAAGGGGAAATTCCCAAACACCAGTAATTTGATAACTTGAACCATACCCAGGCATCACAACACATTAAACGTCAGCCTTGTGCCCGGCCGTATCTAAGGTTCAACACCAAAATGGCTGTGCCCAGCCGTATCGTATATAAGGTTCATTAATACCGCATCATAACTTATAAACCTACACAGAAGCGTCCCGGTCACGGCGGAATCTACCAACCGGCTTGTGCAATAGTACACTGAAACCTACAACACCAAGCTGACTGTATTTCGAGCCTTCTGTGCGACCTCTCAGTGTGGCCGGCAGGGCGATGCTATAGTTTGCTCTTTCGTGATGGTCCAAACCCGAGGCTATACTCTCCATAATTGCTATTTTTTTGTCCATGGTTGTTTTGTAATTCAAGCACAGAGTGCTTTTCTACCCTTGGGCCCACGCTCACGATGTTGGTGTCCAGAATTTCTTCTCAACAGATATGGCAACATCTTCGCAAGCCTTCTCCTCTACAGAGCCGTCTTCCCTTGAGTCGTCCTCGCATTTCGCAATCATCACAAAGACCTTGATAGTGTCCGAGTCGGGCCTCGCCGGCCATGAATCCAGCTGCCAAGCACTCCAGATGTTACTTTGCTTGCCCGATTTGAGCTTTTGTTGCTCGAGCGCGTCAAACGCGGATTGAAAGCGCTCTTTGTCGTTGAGATTCACTCGCCAGCGCGTTATTTCAACCCTCTGGGCCTCCATCAAGGCGGAGTTTTCCTCTGATTCCTCCTCGTGGATAAAGACCCCGTCGACCATGACGATGTCCAAACGCTCTGCGTCGTGAAAGGCGGACATCCCGTCCACCAATTCGACACCCGTTTTCGAAGTGAACCATTCTTGGCAGGCTTCCGCACTGGGCCACATGCTCGAGGCAACAATCAGCCCAGAACGGTCTTCATCTTCGGCCACAGCCAGGCCGCGATGGGCCGAGAGAGCTGGATGAACCGGTCCGCTCAATTTTTTGATATATTCTATGCAGAACCGATCCTGCGAGTCGAGTAAGCGTCCGAGCTGATCTAAAAATTCTTCTGGGATTGGCGATTGGTGTAGGTAAATGTAGCAAAGGACGGAGATGTGCATTCTGATGGAGTTTTACAGGATGTAGTAGTATGAAGATGACAAGTTCAGGAGTGACTACGGGAGGAGGAGGGGTGATCCGGTACTTTTAGTCGCAACTTGGCCTATTTCCCTATTTCTCCCGCTGACTTGAAAGAAATCAGTCGATGTAAACCGAACACGACTCGTAATCCGCCGATGGTGGCCGGCTAGCGTACTGAACGATGCTTTATATGATGAAATCTACATTTGCTAAGAGCAACTTAAACTACTATGAGTCTAAACTCCGCTAACTAGCGAGAACTTGGCAGCGCTTACGATCAAACAAACAAATGGCCCTCTCGGACGGTTTGTTCGTTTGATGGGTCAAAATTGAGTTGTTTGATTGATTTGATGATTGATTTGATCAGTTTGATAGATCCGAGAATTTATTTATAGCTAACCTTATTTTTCTACCAGATCTGCCTTTATCCAAAGGCTCGAATTCGCAGGTTCTAGATACCTTCAAAACTAGCAGGGAAGCAAGTGGGTTGAAAAAACCATAGTACATGACTCAGGCCTGTATAGGCTAAGAGGGGAGATCTTAATAAACACCTTTAATAGAGCTTTTAATTCTCATTAGGTAGATATCTTTTTTGTTTTATTTTACCTAATATAGAAGGAGGTATTTTACTTGAAGAACTAGAGGTAAGGAGCTTCTGGGGGATTTTTGGGTGCGCGCCCACCCGAATCTCGTGTGCCATCTCTTTGAAGCAGCTGGAGCAGCAGTAATATATTTCCCCGCTGTTTTATAGAGTACAGCGACAAGTGGGTGACAAAAGAGATGACACCAAACCAGCACTTCAAACATCCATATCATAAGATGCTCTGTATTTGATATGCCGCAACATGGGCTCAAATCGCCCCAAAAAGGCCAGTAAAAGCCTTAATATTATTTCAAAACCAAGAGAATAAAAATATCTAATTCTTGGACTTTTTTTGTATTTCTTTTGCAGCGCTGAATGGCTAAACAGAAGGCGTAAGAATTTGGTATCTCATCTTTTATGTGACCCGGTTGAGTGAGTACGTTTAGGTACTTATTAAGCCTTTCTAAGATCGAATTTTAGATAGAATTACAATTGGTAGTGATATTCAGTAAAGCAGGCTACAAAAAGCAGACTACAGATCAGCGGTACTTCCACTATAGTGACAAGATCTCTAATGAATAAGTATCTCTTATCCGACGATTTACTCATAGCAACGCACCGATTAAACCCCTACGAGTTACCTACTGCTGCTCTAGCTGCTTCAAAGAGACAATGTTTTGTTCAACCCACTCGGGAAGATACGATCTAGTGCCCGGCGGGCTTACTTTGCACAAACCAAGTTTTGGGCCATCCTGGGAGGGGACGTAACACCCGGCCACTAGCTTCCCAACTTGACGTGTGCAATAACAAAGCAGCCAGGATCTACTGCGAGTGCTGTTACAAAAACCCGTGTGTGACGAATCAAAGGGCCAACGAGGTCGTGCCACGATGGAGACCCGGCACGTTGTATCCGAGAAGCAATCTATCTAAGCCAGGCCAACGACCCCTGGCTTGGCATTAGCGTGCTCTGTTTGTGTGAGGTCTCGGCCTGCCGGCACGCAGATGTGCTTTGGACCTGGGGCGCAGCGTCATGACGCCTCAGTGGCAGCCACCCAGCTCAACGTCATGGACTGACTGGACCTTGGATGCGCTGTGCTATTCAGCCTAACAGGGGCGCAAGATTAAGGTGCCCATCAAGGATTGGTTTGATTGAGAGGATGGTTTCGCAGGAGATGGCAGCATTAAACGGGTAGATCACCACCGCCTTGGCCCCTTTTTCAGCAGTCCTTCTATCCAAGCTCTCTCTTCTTGTTGACTCTCTCGCGTCGTCTTTTGTTTTTATTAACCTTAAACTACGGCCTCCAAACCACTAGCAGCACTCTCCCGCCATGAGATTTAATTCATTCAAGCTCAAGCGGCGGGCCCACTCCCTGAGCCGGACAAGCACTGAGCAGTCATGGAACGTCTTTCGTCAGATCAACTGGAGCCGCAACTTTTCCCGCGATGGCGCATTGGGTGAGTCTGGTGAGTCTGGACGGAAACGGGAGGATGAGGATTCCCAAAGCAAATCACTGGGAAAGCACCAACCTTTCACGGCTGCCAACCAGATCCAGCGCACACTGCTCAGCTCGTGGATCAACATCCTCCTCCTGGCAGCGCCTGTCGGTATCGCGATCAACTATGTCTCCTCAATCAGCCGGGTCGCCGTCTTCGTGGTCAACTTCATCGCCATCATTCCCCTAGCGGCCATGCTAGGCTTTGCGACAGAGGAAATCGCTCTACGGACTGGCGAGGTCTGGGGCGGACTCATCAACGCGACATTCGGAAACGCCGTGGAACTCATTGTCGCCATCCTGGCCCTGGTGAAGCACGAGTATGTCATCGTGAGGACCTCCCTCATTGGGTCCATCCTCTCGAATCTACTGCTCGTCATGGGCTGCTGCTTCTTCTTCGGCGGTCTGAGACGCCCGCAGCAGTACTTCAACGAGACGGCTGCCCAGACGGCAACGTCTCTCCTCGCGCTCGCCATAGCGGCCGTCATCATCCCCACAGTTTTCGACTACACCACGGACAACCCCGTCAAGGACATCGCCGGCCTCTCGCGCGGCACCTCTGTAATCCTGCTCGTCGTCTACAGCGCCTATCTCCTCTTCCAGCTCAAGACCCACAAGACGGTCTTCTCAGAGGAGAGCCAAAAGGTCGCCGCCAAGCCCTGGACCAGAAGTTCCCTCGATGAGGGCGCCGTGGGGCGAGGTATTGCGCTGCCCGGTGCTCTCATGAGCGGCGGCGTTTCTGACGGCAACGAGCACTCGGCCATTTTCAAGCAGGCTGGTAGCGACGGGGAGGAGGAGGAGGAGGAGGAGGAGCCCCAGCTGCATTTCTTCGTCGCGCTCGGCACTCTCGTCATCTCCACTGTCATCATCGCCCTGTGCGCCGACTACATGGTGGACTCGATTGACTCGGTGACGGAGAACAGCAGTCTCAAGAAGGAATTCGTCGGTTTGATTCTTCTCCCAATCGTGGGTAATGCGGCTGAGCACGCCACAGCCGTCACCGTCGCAATCAAGGACAAGATGGATTTGGCAATCGGTGTCGCTGTCGGGTCCAGCATGCAGGTTGCGCTGCTCCTCTTCCCGCTCCTCATCATCATCGGCTGGGGTCTTGGATTGGACGAGATGAATCTCAGCTTCGACCTGTTCCAGGTGGCAGTCATGTTTGTCGCCGTGCTCCTGGTCAACTACCTCATCGCCGACGGCAAGAGCCATTGGCTGGAGGGGTTCCTGTTGATCTGCTTATATTCAATCATCGGCACCTGTGCTTTTTGTAAGTTCTACCTCCTCCGTCACCCTCGAATCCGAAAATTCATGCTGACCTCCCCCAGACTATCCCAACAATCAAAGTAATTCATCCGAGTAGGATTGCATTGCAGTTTCAGATTTAGCATTTTCAGCATTTTGTATTATGACCATCAGACTTACGACCATTAGAACTTAATAAATACCTGCTCATAGAGAAGAGCGTGTTATCTCAATTGAAAGCGGTTGTTGTCTCTCGCAGTCTTGCTCTAGGGGAAGCTTCCACAATCACAGTTTTTGATCATGTCGGAGATATATCCGAAAGAGTGCATGCAGTTGTCGAGGAGTATTGATTGCTACTCGAGAAGAGACCTACAACATTAGGTTTCGGGTCCCGTGGCTCGCAGAACTTCTGCCCGTGCCGTAAACATATAGTTGCCGTCTGGGGAGGGTCCTGTTCCATCTTAGATCTTATTTTGGGGATCTTATTCAGCTTTTTAATGGAAGCACGATCCATCCATCAAAAGGCTCCATCGCCCTGCTCAGTGATGTCAGGCGAATCTTGGTTCCACATCGAGATTATCGTCAGATAACCGGTTCAAAGGAAACTGTTGTAGAAAACTAGCAATATAAAGGTGAATAGAATCTTCTTCCGCAGGACTGCAGCCTTGGGCTAGCGAAGCTTTTTCTATCAATCTTTCGTATTTATTGTGTTTAGTTGTCGGGTCTGGCTTCTTCCATTTTTTAGCTTTCTATTAAATTCACTAGGAAATCAAGGGCGTACAAACGAATTGAACTATTTCAATTGGTATATAGACTTTTCAAATAAACGCTATGATTGTACTAACATACTGGGATGGAAAGAAGAGCAAGGAAAGTAATATAAGGGTAATACTGTATAAAGAAGAAAAGAAGTTGTTGAGAGGGAAGAGAAAAAAGGGAAGGCCGTGAACACATTGATCGGATGCCTCCAGCAACACCTGGGCTCCTGTAGGGTCGTAAAACACGTTAAGCACCGCGACGTTCCGCGCCGCAGGGAAGAGCGATGCTCGTGGTGATGAGCGTCGCGGCAATGACATTGGTAAAGACGCCCATGTTACCCTTGAGGACGGTCCTGAAGTTCTCGAAGCCGACGGGCGTCTCGGGCTTGGGCTGGTTGCCCCTCATGATCTCGCGGAGGGAGAGGAGCTGGATGATGGTGATAACCATGACGGAGTAGACCTCGCCCGAGGTAAAGATAGCCTTGAGGGCCCGGGCGAGACGCCTCCGGAGGGTGGGAGGGCCCCGGGGCGCGGCGCCGTGCTCGGCCTTGACGCCTACCTCGGTCCGGGGGGCGGGGACGACGACGAAGCTGGAGAGGCGCGAGAAGAGGGCGACGGCAAGGGACACCCAGAGCACCTCCTGCTCGCGCCCCCGGAAGAGCTGCCTGCACACGCTGAAGGCGGCCAGGTTCTGCCCCGCGGCCAAGACCAGCTTGAGCGAGGCGAAGCGGCGCGCGGGACTGCCGGCGAACATGAGGCCGCCAATGCCGCCCTTACCCCAGAAGGACGACATCTCACCGAGGACCTGGATAACGGCGTGGGCGAGGAACAGGGTGTAGCTCTTCTCGAGCGCGGAGAAGCGGGCGGGCAGGTAGAGGCCGGCGGTGATGATGATGAAGTCGACCCAGATCATACGCAGGTGGGGTGCCGCGACGGCATTGTCGGCGATGGTCTTGGGCGACTTCCGGGGCGCGAGGCCACTGGCAATCTTGGCCTCGGCGGACTCGTCCTTGGCCTCCATGCCCCTCGTCTCGCCCCCGACGGATGAATAAATAGCGAAGCGCATAAGGAGGTCCCAGCCCAGGAAGGTGAAGACGACAGCGGTGGACAGGGCCTGGCTGGAAAGCCCCACGTGCCTGGCCATGAGGTTGCCACTGTGGCGGCTGTGGATAAGAAGGGCCGTCAGTGCAGAGCCCAGGCGGAGGAACAGCTCGCCCCTCTTAACGGAGCGGTAGCCCTCGGCCAGGACCTGCTCGCCGTTGAGGAAACGCTTCCACAGCATATTACTGAGGCTGATGAGGAGGTAAATAACTGTAATGGACGTGATGCTCTCGACCCAGGCACGCACATACTCCCTCTCGCCCAGGGGGTGGCTGAGGTTGGCGGCATAGAGCAGGACCTTGGCGACAATGGCGGTGACTATAGATGCAGCGAGGGTAATGTTGAAGCGTGAGACGAAGAAGCCCGTGCGCTGGAACAAGAGGCCGACAGGGCCTGTAGAGGGCTGAAGGGCAATCTTGGCACAGACGAAGCTGACAATCTGGGTCCGAATGGTGTAGAAGGCGAGGAAGAGTAGGCAGGTGGCGCGGATCAGGTCCCACATGGTATAAGGGGTCAAGATAATACGGCCAAGGGCATAAAACATGAGGGTTACCTTGATAGTCATGGAACTAGCTATCTGGATAAGCCTGTTATAGTAGAGGACACGCGATGTCTTCAGGTTGTAGCCCAGGTGCTTCCCAAGGCTGTGGGTACTCAGGCAGATATCGCCGAGCTGTGTAGCCGTCTGAACGTAGAGGGCCTTGATCATGTGGACGTTGGGCGCCGCCACCGTGTTGAAGTAGATGACTGTACAATAGACGTGGTGCAGATACAGCTCGGTTGAATTCTCGTAGGTGATGAGCAACTCGCTAGCCCATGGGACGATCTGGCCAATAACACAGACGTGGCCTGCCGGCGTCATTGTCTGGCCGAGCTCCCATGGCGTTTCGCGGGCGGCCATGATGCATGAAGGCAGCACGACGAGCGTGCCGAATGTTGCGCGGAGGATCATGATGATGACGAAGAAGAGCATCTTATACCGGAGCTCTCCAGACTTGTGCTTCTCGTACCATACCGGATGGACGAGCTTAATGATTCGCTCTATTGCTGCAAACATGACCCAGTACGCGCCCAGCGCGGCAATGAAGATGCCCAGGTACATTTGGTGTGCTGCGTCATCCATGGTGGATGAGCTGCGTGGGGTGGCCATGACCAGATGACCAGACAGAGAGAATAATAAAGAATAGAGAATAAAGAATAAAAAGGAAATAAAGCGAAATAGGAAAGAGAAGTGAAGATTCCTTCTAGACAAAGAAAAAGAGTGAAGTGGTGGTTGTTTTCATAATGATCAGCAAGCAAAGGAAGCCTCTTTGCCTGGGAATTGGGTTCATTAAGAGCTGGGAGCTGGGCAACCTGGACCCCTGTTCTCCAGGGACTCTCCAGGGACTCTCCAGGGCCCCCTGACTGCGACTCGGAATTGGTATAGGGCCCTGTCTATATATATCTCTGCTTAGTCTAATTATACAGGTCCGTACCCACGCCTGCTTACCCTCCCATGTCACGAACCATCCCATTGCATAGAATATGACTAAACTTGAATCAAAAGACAGCGCAAGCTCATGTGGCGTTACTAGATCCAGAGGTCGCCCGTAGGGCTTGAGGCCAAAAGAGGCATAATCTCGCCATGGTTGATCTGGCCCTCCCGAGGAAGCATCATCGCCGTTGCCAGCCAGCTCGCACATCCATGACTCATGAGGACGCGCCAAACGCACGTGGTCAGCATCTAAATTGCCGACTCGTTGCTCGGTCAGCATCTAGCTTGATCAGACAGCTACGCCGCGCCATCGCGGGCCTGACAAGGCTGTTATGCACATTGGCCTGGGAGGCGACACGGATTAGATATCAGCCGTTTCGTTGGGAGCCGTCGCTCGTCGCTCGTCACGTCAACTTCACGTTGAGAACGCCGCGCACCATTGGCAAAATCCACCGCAAATGCAGAGTCGCCTGATCATGCAGGAATGTTCCAAGATGATGCCAAGTCCCAAGCACGAAGCCAGCGACCGAAAGGGCTGGATAATAGAACACGCCATCGCACCAACGCAATATAGCCGATTTCTGAAGGAGCAGTAGCCTCAATTATCATCGCCATCATCGCCCTTGGTTTTAGCATGGTGCAGCCCCTTTCCTCTTACCAAGACAGCTCCATCTTTTGGTGTCGCGGTGGAGAACGTCACCCCAGCCAATTTTCCCCTTCTTCCTCGCCATGGTTCACAGTCGTTATCCTTGGCACTAGGCACTTATCGGGGGCTCACCGTCTCCTGATCCTAAGAGACGCGACAGCAGATATGAATTCATTGGGACAAATGCAGGTGAAAGGCCTCGCCCAACAGTGCACTCGCCCAACAGTGCACTCGCGCATTTAGGCTTTAGCAGTTACCCGAGTCGCGCCCCTTTGGTTGCTGCGAAAGTCCGTCTGGTCGCGCAACGCAGTTGTTATACTAATACCACCTCCTAGCCCGCACGCGTCAGGCAAGTAGGGGAGGGCGGCTTCACGGCATCTTTGCCTTGGCCTGCCTCTTGGCCTGCTCTTGGCGTGGAAGCTGCGGTGAGGCTGCCCACATGAAGCACTGGGTTTTCAGCCGGTGAGCCTCTACCTTCTATTTAGGCGGTGTTTGAGGTGCTGTACCCAGGCTGTCTCCGGCACGTCGTTACAGGTATCCGTGATCGCGTCCAACACGACCTAGCATCAGCCACTTTGACTTGATCTTGGTCCAATATTCTGGTTGGAAAGGCACCAACCAAATAGGATTCTCCATCTCCCTTGCTTTCAGTTTTAATTTACATACAGCAACGATCGCTCGTGACCTCAACGCGATGTCTCTGTCCCAGCTGCCGGGCCAATTGGCTGCTGCTTGCGACAACTTATAGCCGCAGCCGCCATCTCCATGTCCGGCTCGACAGCTGCGGCCGCCATCTTCTTGTCTGACTTGACCAGTCAATTAGCTATTAATTGAGACAGCGCGTAGCTACAGCCGCCGTCTTGCTATCTCACCCGGTCGGTCAATTGGCTGTTGGCCAAGACAGCCCATAGCTACAGCCGCGATATTACTATCCAACCTGACCAATGAATTAATTCGGCTATAGCTTCAGCCCGTGGCTACAGCTACGATTAATCTGTCTGAGCAGCGAAGGGGGGTGTGAGAATATAGGGTAGCTAGACTTAGGTTATGTAATCTACCCTATATCTCTACCTCAAATATAATCAAAGCTTCATTCCGGCCTCATTACTCCGTGTCATAGGTTGTCTTGGGATGTACGGGTCAAACAATCACTATGTTTTAGAACTTTGGGCTGGTCATGATAATAGTTGATGGGTGACTGAGGGAAAGTGCCGGAAATTTATATTTCGATGTTATTAAAGGTAGGCCGCGGTCAAAAGTCCCAGTCTCAAGCATATCGACCGCCTGGCTCGGGTAGCTGCACTGGATCGTTGGAGAATGAGCAGTGTCCAACGCCGCCACCAGGCGCAGACTCTGCCGGGACGACGACGCCCCATTTCACGGGCCTCTGGTTCGACGTCCCCTCGGGCGCATGGCAAGCTGCGGCAATGGCTGCGCTGTAACTCCCGGCTATGGGGATGCCACCCTCCAGTTTGAACCTGCCCAAGCCGACCGTCGTGGAAAAGACTGCCAGCACGACAAATGCCGTCAGAAACATGGCCATGGGCGAGAACCCGGCCGTGGTCGTCGTGAGGTCCGCTACATCGCCATTTGGGTTCTGGTCCGGCCGAGCTAGCCAGGTCTGGATCTGGACGATCTGGACGACGAAGAAGCTCTGTGAGATCAGCCAGTGCATCAGGACCGAAACGACCATACTAAGTAATAATATAATTAAGTATAATTTATCCTTACTTAGTCTTTACTCCTCTACTACGAATCTGATCATTAGCAATCCACGCCGCTCGATGCCGCTCGAAAGCTGGAAGCCAAATTTGGCTGTCGCATAGTACATGTAACAAGAGCGATTACTGTATGTCTTGCCTGGTTGTCTCTTGCTGAGAGAGACCAATTGATGGTAGTTGTAGGGCTGACTTGACAACACGTGCAATTTCCCTCCTACCGGGATGTCGCTTGATCAGACGAGCGACAGCTATTGATTTGGCTTAGCTGTTTTCACGATAGGCGATTGCCGCAGGCCTGAATTGGCTGTCCATTGACTCAATAGCCCTACCGTAACGCTTATCTTTACCGAAGAGAGCCGGGTCAGCTTCACATCAATCACGCGTCTTGGCGAGCAGCCAAGTCGGCTCGGCAGTTGTTGGCTGTCTCTGTAGCACACTGGGCGGTCTGGGCAGCAGCAGTCGCCGTCTTGGCGGTAGATAGAGCGGTCAGAGAGACAACAGTCACTCATCTTGGCGAGAGACAGCCGGTGGCGGCCGGAGTTATAGCAAACACACCCAGCTTACCTGACCCATTCTGGGCGTCCCGATTGGGAAGCCATGGCTGGTTTGGGACGGTCGCGCGACACGATTTCCTCGAAGGCGATATCGCGGACACGCCTGTATTTAAGTCAGAAACCTGCTTGCAGCCTTGTTAAGCATAAATACGACCTAGAAGTGGTTCTTTTCCGTGCAAAACCGTGCAAAAGGCAAGACTTTGTGCCTGATTGGGGTGCGGTATTACGTGGTGTGGCTATATATAAATTTCCGGTGTCTAAATATATCACGCACCACCTCCACCACTGCTAAGACCAGGTTCATGCCAGGGACCTGGATTCTGACCAGGGTCCCAGGTGGCCTGGCCCCTGATCAACAGAGATTACACTCAAACTCTCTTCCGTGCAATACCTCGTCAGTCCAGTGCGATGTCAGCCATATTAGCAATGTGTCAACCTTAGGTATGTCTTTCAGTGAGGATTCAACCACTATCTACAGAAAGAGAGGATTGCTAGGACTACCGGGCCTTGAGACTGTCTGTGTTAGGTAATGGGCAACATTCATACTAGCCAGCAACTTACAGAGAATTTAGGCAGAGTATTTTCTCGAACAATGCTGTCGATCATGGATACATTGACTAGATCTTGAGATGGTTGGAAACATTCGTTAGATTGGTTATACAAGCATTCCTCTGTTATTTCAAATATAGCATATAGAATTTACGTAGTAACCACGCAAGTATGAATTACCATTCATAAGATAGACGAACACCTTGACCTAGCGAGGGTCGCTCATCGCCGAGTATTTCTAACAATCTAGCAACCTCTCAAAAAATAAGCAACCATGTAGAATATGACTGGAATTCGTGACCCAACGTGGATTGGATGTGGTCTTTTTGGCCTTTTTCCGTGTCTTGGATTCTCTTTGACCACTAATCCAAACTTGAATAGGCAGAACCCCCCCGCGACCCGTAAGTTGCTTTGCGGTCTGAAGCACCCGGCCTTCCAAGAGTTTGCGGTGGCGTTTCAACTTCCCCATGTACTGGTCGAAAGTCATGACAGCATCCAGGACTTGATCCCTCTCCAGGTCATTCTCAGCAGCCTCAAAGGTGAGACTGAAAGTACACGAGACAATCTGTGAAGCGTTGATATGTGATTTCTTAAGGTGAGGAATAAGCATCCAGTACTTGATCGAGAGTTTGCGATATTTTTCAAAGTAAAGGGCGGTATCATCTGAGGAGGCACAGAACGAACTGAAGCTGTGGAGAACTTTGGCAATAATGATCTGGAGTACCAAGAATTCGAGGAGGAGCTGCGTGGCAGCAATAGACCTCAAATGGTATTTTTCCTTGAAAGAAAAAGTCTTTGTCGGGGACAACTTCCATCAGTCCCTGCTTGGTGAAGCGTTCCTCAATATTGTCGATAGTCAGACAAAAGCCTCGGTTCCAGAGCTGAAGTTGCTCAAGGAGGTCTGAAGCCAGGGCTTTCATATTCTCGGGATGTGGGTTGTTGTGAACCAATCCAACATGGGTCATGTAATCAGCCATCTTGGCAAATGTGCCTTGGATCAGAGCTTCCTCTGACGCTGATATAAGAGGCCCGTCGATCTTGACTTCTTCAGCGGGCTCAATCTTGCGACCCCCCTGGCCGTCAAGTTTATCACACCAGCAAAACTGAAGTTGATGATCAGATAAGCTAAGCAGTGAGCCCGGAGAAGAAGGGCGAAGGAGTACTTACCAGACTTGAGCCCAGTTCACTTGCTAGCGAGGCGTCCAAATCATCATCCAGGCGGGGCGGTCCTCTCTGCACGATCAATTCTGACATCCCTCTTGCATGGGCAGCAGAGTCTAGATTTACTGCTTTTTCAAACGATGTACCGGCTCTCTGGAGGATAACCACTGTTGCCAATGTCTCAGCGCAGTAAGCTTGCTTACTTCTCAAGGCTTGCCGAAGACTCTGGAGAGCCGTGCTATAGTAGCGCAGTGTGTTGACACTTGGTTTTGCCAAGCAGCGACGATCATCCATCTGCGAACTGCACCAGAATGCCACGCTATCAGATAAGCACTGGCTTTCTTGGAGGCGCGAGGGGACAAAAGACAGTATGCTAAGGTGAGCTGCATCTCCAAGATCCGTGGATGTGTTTAGCACGGAGACAAGATTGGCTGCGAGTTGGCTCAGTCGTGTTGTTGGGTTGGCACGAGGTCGGACATGACTCCAGAGAATGCGTGACTTGGTAGGAACTCGAGGTCTGATGGGTTTGTATCTCTTCGATTGGTGTTGGTGGTTGTGGCATGATCTCTGCTCTGGTGGTAGTGAATCTTCAACCCACGTTGATGCGAGCAGGTTCGGAAAACGCAGCTTTGAGTTGTTGAAGCTGTCATTGACTGGTTCCTGAGATCTGTATGCATAGGTCACAAGTGGTGATGGGCCAGGGCATTTGAGCTTGGAGTATTGGCATGCCGTGCAAGTTGGCCACTTCTCGTCACACTGTCTTGGCGGCCATCCGATAATCATTAGCCTGTTGAGCTATTTGCCTCGGTTCTAAATAAAGAGACAAAAGAACCAATTATATCTCTCATCAGTGAATATCATGGGATTCTCTATCCAAGTACCTTGATTTTTTTGGCTTTGCATACCGAGCAGCCCTTCGTTTTTGGGATTCCTGGCATTCGTAATGATATCAAACGAACAAGACAAGGAGGAGGCAGGCGGCAGGGTCAACATGGGGCAAGGGTGAGTGCTACCTCGCTTCAGAGCTCTGTTGGCTCTGTGTCCCGTACATCGAACGAGGGAATGAATCCAAAGGAGAAAGGATGTGCGGAGTAAAGCATGAACTGTGGATTAGGGATAATTACCTCCAATCGGAGGCGAACACCGAGCTTCAACCGAGCACATCAGCCTAGCTTCTCCTCATTCAGCTTTACAAATCATCAGTGACATCTCATTCGTATCAGAACATTGACCCCTCAACTCAACCCATTAGTTTCCCATCGCTCATTCTCTTTACAATGGCAACCTTTCCTCTTGACGGATTTGGTGGATACACGTCCAAGACGTTCGTCTTCAAGACGGATTCTGATGGCAATGCCATCCATACAGACGTGGTTTACCCTACTCAGGCGGCAGACTCACCGAGCACTGTTCTCGTCCATTACCACGGCGGATTCTTAGTGAGTTCTAGTGGTTGGGAAAGCATCTTGTTGCTGGATCCTGGCTTACCGTTATGATCTAGGTGTTTGGTGACCGGTACAGCTTCCTCCCGTACTGGCTTGTCCATGCATCCGTCGCTCGGAACTGGATTTTTGTGACACCAGAGTACCGCCTCATCCCGGAATCAACAGCCCATGCCTCAGTTGAGGATGCCGTGGATGCCTATAAGTGGGTGAGATCCTCGCTATCGGGCCTGCTTGAACGCCCCATCGGCTCGGTACTGGTGGCTGGATCAAGTGCTGGTGGCTATCTTGCCCTGACAACCACCACAATTGTGGCAGAGAAACCGGACGCTCTGCTGTTGGTGTATGGAATGCTAGACGCGGCTGGTCCTACCTATACGACCCCCGGACCCAACATCTTTGGCCAGCCCACAATCGAGACAGGACCAATTTTGCGCGAATTCCCAATAACGAAAGAAGGCGACGGCAGAAAGAAACTCTCCGCGTACAAAATGCCTCTTGATGTCTCCAGCGATCCAAGATCGTCCCTCGTCTCAGCCCTTCATATCGATGGAGTTTTCGTCGACTATATGACAGGCGTGGCCGGACTGGCTCGTGCTATTTCGGAACAAGGAGTGGAAGCTATTGCAGACAGAGATCGCCATCTCTTCCCCTTGACGTTTGGGAACCTAGCTGGGATGCCAAGGACATTCTTACTTCATGGAGCAAATGACTCAGGTGTCCCCATCTCGTGCAGTGAGAAGGCAGCCGAGAAGCTTCGAGCTGCAGGTGTCGAGGTGGTAGAAGAATTCCCGGCAGATGCAGAGCACGGCTTCGATACGAGAGCTGGCAATATAAATGCGGAAAGTGCAGAGAGCGATAGACTGAATGCCGTTGAGAGTCTTAGGAACGCTATTCAATTTCTTAGCTCCTCAGTTGATTTAGCTTCTGTAGTTAGTGAATTGTAGAGGCTATCACCTGCTGAAAAGCAAAAATTTGAACAAGTTGCTATAAGAATGATGCAGAGTTCGTCAGAGGAACAAAAGAATATTGCTAGAGAGGTACTTCATCAAAGGTTTTCTGTGGCCTAGCTCTAGGAGATGCAAAGCCAGGGCAAGGATCCTCTCATCCTGTTCTACCAAAATCACGCATACCACGTACTCAAGACGAATGCCCTTCGACAGCAACAGCAGTAAGCACAATCAGGGCAGATGCAGGTTCAAACCCAGTCCAAGCCTCGGTGATGAGTAGATGATTCAACTCTTACAGATCTCTGGCTCACGCAGCACGTTTCTCTCATCATGCTGAATCTTAGTGTCCCTTTCTAGCTCCTGAATATAGTAGTCAGTAGCCAAGATTCGGAAAATAGAAGCCAAGAGAATAGAAGGACTGTCGGCGCTCTGCAGTACTAAGTGGTTTGACCGAGTGTAGTCTGCGATGGAGTTAATGCGGAGTACGCATTTTAAGATAGCGGAACCAAACTACAAGCTTGCTGAAGAGGATAATCAAGATGTGTATGAAAACGAGGATCTAGTGTTTTATAAATGTGGGTTATTTTATGAGTCATTATCTTTACTAGAACCAATCTCTTTTGTCATAGCATTAAGCTCAGGTTGAATCGCCATCTTATTGATCTCTAGCTAGAGACATGGTGCGACTCGGTCTGGCCTGCGATTAGGCATCAGGGTTGCCGTTGTAGATCAGCTTATTAACAGTGCCGGCAGGTATATTCTTGACGGCATCGTTTTGAGCATAGTCCTTGAGGAGCTCACAGAGAGCCGAAGCACCTGGCCAGCCATGAAGGGCTGCGAAATATGCGGCGAGACCCGCTGCATGAGGGGAGGCCATAGAAGTGCCCGACATAGCAACCTAATGAACGATTTAGTCCCAGATCTCTTAAAAAATATATAGACAAAGTAAACAAGACTTACAGTTTTTCCACCTGGAGCGAGAGAGTCAATGCCGTCGCCAGGGGCAAAAACATCAACTACTGCCCCATAGTTGGAATAAATCGAGAGTTGGTCAGTAATGCCCGAGGCTCCGATTGTGCACACAGTGGGCTCTGACGCTGGTGATTGAGTGGAGGCATCCTGGGACTGGTTTCCTGCAGATACCGCAAGGAAGATATCATTCGTAGTAAGCGCTGCTGCAGCTGCGTTAAGCGCAACTGAGACGTTGTCACGTAGAGACATATTAGCAACCACACCCTTGGGGCAGTTACGCTTGGGGGCATCGGCAACAACAAAATCAAGACCCTTGATCATGTTAGAAGTAGTTCCTTTACCATCGTCATCGATAACCTTAACGCCATAGAGCAGCGTTTTCTTTGCTACACCATAGGTCTTGGAGCCAATAGTGCCAGCAACGTGGGTACCGTGGCCATGACCATCAGTGTCAGACGCGTCTGCAAAGTTCGCAGCAAATGTAGCACGGCCTTCAAAGTCCTGTGGAAAACTTGCATTAGCTAGAGAGACTAAACATTGAGCGAGTGACGTACTGGGTGCGTGACATCTATTCCAGTGTCGATAACATAAGCGCATGTACCATCGCCGGCACTGTCATCGTATCGGTAAGTCGGAACGGAGCCCCGAACTTTATGAGAAATTCGGCGAAGGCCCCACGTAGGACTTTGCTGGTCGACATAGGCATCGATACCAGCAATGGAATCCTCTTCGATGTATTCAACCTGTATAACGTGTGAGGAAATACAACGATAATCTGGGATTACAACTCACATCAGGGTGGTTACGGAGAGCCTCTAGTGTCTCTTGGTCAAGCTCCCCAGAGAACCCTTTGAATACATGCTCAAACGTATGCTCAGGGGTAACGGCGAGAGTACTCAGGATGCTCTCAGCTCTGGTATTTACGCTGGTGTCCTTGAACTTGACAATATACTTATTCGGAAGAACGCCAGTTTGATCTCTGCGCTGTAGCAGAGGAGCAGGCTTAGAAGGCTGAGTTGGGGAACATAATGCTGCTGGCAGTAGAGCGAGAAGAAGTGAGGAACGCATCCTGACAAGACTCTTTGAATCGAATTCAGAGATTTCCAGGCACGGCTGCTTAGTCTCAACACAACTTGACAAACTTAACTCGGTTGGCCTGGGAAGAGCCCTTATATTTCTAAAATCTCTAGCCAAGCCACCCTTGTGAATCTCTCTCCACCACAAAAGTCATGAGTTGCCACTTCTAGTTGCGGAAGGTCTTTTGTACGCTTGGCGGCTTGTTGCATGAGCATAACAGGCATCTCCTTCCCAATAAATCCTGACCACATGCATCCTGCAACTTCTAGGGAGCCCTTTTTGCATATTTGAAGCCAAAGTAGAGACTTTCGCAAAGAAATCCCCTCGCACGGCGTGATATTTCTCATTAACCGAAGAGCGGTGTTATTGACCTCGACTGGTGCAGCATAACCGGGAAAGAACGGTGTGGTCTACATGGGAGAGCATCCTATTGCTCGTATCAGACCCAATCGGAAACCAAAGACGGAGACCCAATTTAACACGAATTAAGCGGTTTATTCGTCTCTTCTATAATTGGTTACACTACGATCACACATGAGTATGTATCCCTACTATTAGGCCAAGATACTTGCATAACACAACGATTGTGGCGGATGTAATGGGTCAAATTGTCGGGACCGGAGCGGGGGCTTCTATTACGAACCTTCGAGATTGGTGGATCTACAGAAGTCCGAAGCGCGCGGTAAAGATATTTGTCCAAAGCAAGAATTGTCCCATGAGCGGAAGTGGACTGCAGGAGCCCTCGTATAGCGTTCAGGTTCCGAGCATCATTCCAGGCTGAGGGATAAGGCGAATCAGCTTCCACTCAGTCTTTCGCAACGAACCGGAGCAGTTTCATTATTTCTTTTTGTCCAAGAACAGAGAAGAGGATGGGCATAGATATTAGATGATGCCAACAACGGTGAAGAGCACAAATGAGAGAATAAATACAAAGGTAGGACTTGTAGAGACGTTTCAGTGAAACTTTAGTTGAAAATGCTGTGAATCAGGCTGAGCTCATCAATTACAATAACGCTGTCTCATTCACAAGCAAATCCGGTATGGTGTAGTGGCTAACATCGCTCGCTCTCACCGAGCAGCCCTGGGTTCGATTCCCAGTACCGGAGAACTTTGATTTTTGCACCCATTGAGTCTGGAATCAATATCCAACTTTTTTAATTCAAAGGATATAAATTGTCAAGTTTATCCTTGACGAGCGATAGAATCAAATAGACCACCTGCATAGAATAGCCTGCCGCTGCCATATTTATCCAGCTCTGCGTTTGAATCTGCAGACAGAGATGCCTTCCAAAATGCTCAGAAGCTCTGAATCTGTTGATAATTTGCAGCAAAGGCGCCATTCAGCTTGGGAGGGCCGGCATTTTGAACAAAATCCACCTCCAGGGAGGCGGATAGAGGAGCTTCAGAGAGCCTGCTCATATGCACCACAGTCCCCCACCCAGTCGTCTCTTGGATATCGAGGATGGCGAATCCTTGTCTCTGCCAGAAGCGAATGGC